ATGGTAGAGAACAACGATGGTTAATTGTATAGGATGGGTTACTGTGACGGCATGGAATTCAAAGGTGGAAGGAGTGAAGTTAGGTAGCTTGAAGAGGGAAAAGCTCCAGTTGGAAGAGAGCAGGAGACCAGTGCCACCTCCTCTGCCAGTGGGTCTGGGTGTGTGGGTGAAGGAATATGCTGTGGAGAGAGCTGCTGGGGTGGATGTGTTGGATGGAGTAATCCAGGTCTCAGTGAGAGCAAGGAAATCCAGAGACTGCAGGGAAGCGTAGCCAGAGATGAAGTCAGCCTTAGGAACAGCTGACTGGCAGTTCCACAGGCCACCTGTAACTAGATGTTGGATCGCAGTGGAGCATGTGGGATAGACGAGAGCAGGCCGGTAATACCGATTAGGAGATACACGGGGCCAGTGATAATTGCGACAAGACACATGAACAGGAATGCAGAAAATACACATGATTATAGCATGAGGGGCTAAAAAAGAAACAAAACACCAGCGATACTTAGCTCAATCAAAGTAGGATTTGCCTCCCTCGTGACTCCCGCAGGACTCTAATGTCTTCGTCAGTCTGACACTCCAGGAAAGAGCTGCTAAAATGGAACTTTGTCCTGATTGCTGAGTTGTCACAGCTGTGTGCCTACGCCCCTTTAATTAATTAACTCTACAGCTGATGGGCGACAGCCGTGCCTTCTAGTCTATTATAATGCACTATTTCAGACAAGTGTCCACTGAGCCCTGAGTAACAAGCTGATCTGAAATTTCAAAAACACAATTGTAGCTAGAATAACTACAAAACAATTATACAGAGTAGAATAAATGAAACAGAGAGGTTTCTTGACTCTCATACTGCAAAATGTAATAGAATATTATGACAATACAGTATAAAAGATTTGAGCTTTATTCTGATTGGTTTTCTGGGCACATATTTTAGTAGTGTTGTCTTTTACCTCATTACAGTTGCTGGAAAGAGAGTGAATTGTTATTTCTTGTGTTGATTAGAAATTAAGAGTCTTTTCTCATTGATGAACAGGCCTGATTCATCCATTTGTAGCGTACTCTGAAATAAAAATGAAAGCTTTGGGAACAATACCATTAGATCAGGGGTGTCAAACTCAAGGCCCGCGCGCGGCCAAATGCGGCCCACGGCGTCATTTGATGTGACCTGCATGAGCTTGCAAAGAATATAATATACAACAATTGGTGTAATTGTTGAATATTTTATTTCAATTATTTGCCCTAGACCTCTAATTTCAGATGTAATTATTTATGAATTTATTACCATAAATGATAATCCAATGCAGAGCCAATAATGTAATATAATACATTATCTTATATTTATTATATATTTATATGTATCTAGTCTTGAAGTTACAACCGGCCCTTTGAGTGCAACCATAATGCTAATGTGGCCCGCCATGAAATTGAGTTTGACACCCCTGCATTAGATGAAGACGACCCAAGCTAAAAGGTAAGGCAAGTTTATTTAAAGGTCCACTTACTTGTGATTCTGAGAACTCAGCAGCATCTCATGGTATTCAGACAAATAAGACAGTTAAGGTGTATTTCAAGACATAAATGTGACTTTTCAATCACGTGAACACAAAGGTCAACCAACACGAGAACGAGGTCAAGAGCAAGAGAAAGAATGAGAAGACCACCATCCTTACACAAAGAGAGGGGTCCTATGACCACCAGCTGACATGACACCTTTACCAGCTCCAGTTGCTGAATGGAGAGCATGAGATGCAGTTGAAATCTCTAAAATATTTACTACCTGACCTTTGAGTTCAGATTTTCTTTACAACTTGGTCAGGGTTTTGACAGAGTTCACCAAGTCAACCGACTGCAAGATATTTCTATTTCAATATAACTCAATTTAATACCTGTTTTTTGTTCATACCTTTTTTTAAATTACTACACATATTTGTATCAAAATATTTTGCCAAAACAGACATCTTAGTATAAGATCTCCTAAGAGCAAATGGATTCAAAAACATTTAATCTATTTAATTATTATTACTTGGTCAGGCGAAAAAAGATGGAAGCCTTCACCATCTTCTAATGCATCCTATGAAGTATCATGTAAAAACATTTAGTTCTTTTCAAGAGCTGCATACAAAGTTTCAATCAGTTATAGAAATTATGATTTACAATAATGACACGATATTGAAGCATGGATTAATATAAGGATAATATCAATTTATTTGAAAGCAGTTAAACTTCTAACGAATCAATATGATTCCCCATTCAAATAAACAATCAAACAAAAATGAATGTGTTCACTCTGCATGTTCATGGGTTGACATTAAGAGCCACTGCTCATCCGGGTTTAGGTCATCTTTTACTTGCATCTTTAATACCCTGAAACTGGTAGAAGAATAGTCCTGAGGTGTCTTTCTAACTTCAACAGTTTGATGGAAGGCTTCTGCCTAACAGCAATCTTTCATCCAAAGTTCTCGATGATGTTACTAAAATGTTCTGGTAACGCTGTAAATCCCAGTCTGTCCGGGTGATAACAAGTCAAACGTGTTGTAAGTAAACTTTGCATCTTAACCATATCATTATTGGTATATGCACATCATATTTTAAATAACCTTTCCTTTAAAATAATATCAAAATGATGTATAGCACATGACACTTAGACCTCAATGCTTAATTACTTATATAATCCACACTCCTTTGAATTTTCAAAGAGACAGAAGTTGTCACCTTCCTGAGACCATAGGGAAGGCCTGTTACACAGTGTCATGCTTCATTCAGTGTCTCATTATCTCACTCCTTCAAACTGGTAGTGGCAGTGTTAAAGTTTCATTGAAATGTCCTTCAGAGATCCTCTATTATCCCTGCTTTCAGCCTCTTTTTCATGTCTTTGGCATGCTGCTTGCTGAGTTCCCGCTTATCCAGTCTCTGTTGAATGGTAAACAAACAAACAAAACAATTAATGAACAAAGCTCAATAATCAGATTTCTTGATGTTGGTCATTCACAAGGTGCTTAAAAATAACTGACGGACCTCTTTCTTCAGGCAATGACGCATGGCACGGTCCACATCGTTACACTTGCCAAAGAACTTTGTGACATTGTGCTTGAGGGTAGAAAAAAAACAGATTTATATTGTTATGTTTTCTGTGTAAATGAAGAAAAAACATTGTTTAGGAGCATGACATACCTCTGTGTGGCACTGCCTCAGAAGAGTGATGAATTCGTTACACTCTTCATTGTGCAGGTGAGGTGAAAGGTCAGGATGCATGCTGAGTTAAGGTCTTACTGTGTCACTTCGGCAATACTGAAATCCACAAAACAAGAGGAGCACTGAGTTGACAATTACGATGGGATTTTACTGAAATCACTGTCATACACGTCATTCGGTGGAGGCACGTTTACCATTAAAACACACTTTATGCTGTACTCTCATGGAATAGGAATATGCTTAACATTCTCAGGATTTAACCAATGGTTATTTTCATTAATAACTTTGTATTTGGTATTTAATTGTATTGATTGTGACTACTGTATAACATTTGTGAAATCAGAATTTGAGGAAATCTCCAAATTGTCTGATTTGCCTTGCGAACAAACCAAAAGCCAAACATAGCCAATTTCAAATACACAATGATATAAAAGCATCTGGAACTTTTGATTTAAAAATTGGATCAAACAATGAATCGATTTTAACAAGGACTTATAGTTTCTGTGCCACTTTCCACCATGTCATCTCAACATTGTTATACTCAGGTAAAGGACATGTTTTTCTAAGGGATACTAATGCCTCCCCATCCCTCTCCTTCCTGAGCTGTCATTGTGATGCTTTTTTTTCCAGTGGACACTTAGCTGCAGACACACACAGAGAGAAGGAGAATATAAAACAATGCAACTACCTGCATTCACCCTGAACCTATTGAATCATGATAACAATTCAGCCTTCACTAGAGATACACTAGGTATTTTTAGTGTCTTTCACACATTATGCTACATCATGTCTACTGGTTTATTTTTAAGCTATTTGATAACACAGTGCACTGCCGGCTGCATGTAAAGGTGATACACTTACCAGTGGGGAGAGTGTATCATCTGAGAAGTCCCGGAAAACGCTGGTGAATTATCACGTTAGCTCAGTGCTAGGCCTCTGCTAACGTTAACCGTATGTAACACAGCATCAACCCAATCAACCACTTAAGATATACGTATGGCTTTGGTCTTCCGTAGAATAGAAACACAGATTACTACAATATAAGATAACTACAGTAGTCTTGAAACTGTCTAACATTAATTTAACCAACACCAACAGCAAGAACTTGAAGGACGTCTGTCTGCAACAACACTTTTGGTTTTCGTAACTGTTTGGCCGGGTGATAGTAAATTGACAATGCTATACAGCGAATCAGCGTCAGTCTTTTTTCTCAACGCACCAATGACATGCGTTCTTCTCATAAAAGGCGGGACATTTGCTGACGGAAGTTCAGAGAAGAAACAAGATATGTCCCTGCAACGTACTTCCGCTTTTACTTATGGATTCAACTACCAAAAAAACTCTCTCTGTGGTTACAAAGCTAAATACAGTGTTTCCTGTCTTATTTTATTTGTATTTAAAGGCCATGTAATGGTTTATGTAATGACACAAATGTTTGCTTTATTTGCATGTTTCCAACTAACAATATTGTTGTAAGTTTAACAAAAAATATGTTAAGAGAGATTTATTATTGATATGTATTATTGACAATATTGTTAGTGTACCCCTGCAATTGTCAAATAAAAAGGGTACATTCCCATGTACAAATTATTTTCTATTTGTGTTTGAAATATAAAAATGTACTACATTTTTGGAATTTATATTTATTTGTTAATTTATATTCAGATTGTTAAAGAATCCTTTATTTCCATCTAAACTTCTTAAACTGAACATTTTTAAATTATCAAATATTTACAAGAAAATCAAACATTTCAGAAAGTAAATTAAAATAGATTTGTGTATCACAACTTTCTACTCTTCTTCCCCCTGCTATAAATGATCTCTCAATCCCTACGGCTTACTATGACAACTTTAAAGCAACCTGACTACAAGTTCAGGAACTGCTTTTTAAAATCAGAATAAACTCGTTGTTCTAACCCCACCAAGACCAGGTACGTGTAAGTGTAAAATATGAAATCAATATGTAAACATTGGTCAGTATTAGCATTGCTATGTCATGGCTGGGGAAACGTACAGAGCCAGTTACTGTAAAACATGTAGCCTACTTAATACACTTTTGCTATTTTACGGCAGAATGATAGGTGAAATAAGTATTTAACTAGTAATCACTAATTTTTTGAATATTGTAGTGATGCTTGTTAAGTAAAGGGTCTAAATATGTCTTCCACCGTTTTGCAGATGTTCCTAATGTGAGTCATATAGGAGCAATACCACCCCAAAACCACAGAGGGCGCTAAAGGGGTCACGTGCACTATTCTTGACATATCTGATTGGTCCATTCGTGTTCTCTTTGGTAGGCGGTTTGTTTGGATTTCTTCTCCTGCTACACTGCAAGCTGTACGGATTCAACAGTTTAATTAAAAAAACGATCCAATAAAAAACGATCCAATAAAACTGCTAATATTATAGCATTATTATCTGAGGAAGGATGGATGAATCTAAGAAACGCCTAGTGCAGCGTATCATTAGAAGGATACCGGCTAAAATGCTGAAAACAACGCTGGAGAAGTGGGGCCGTTTGAACGGGGAACAGCAGCGGGCCATGGATAGCATTCAGTCAAAATGGGCGTTAACGGAAAGCCTACTCGATATTTGCGAGGTAAGCAGACACTTTCTGATATTATAGGTTCTTCTGTTTGATCAACAGTGTAAAACAGTACATTTTCGATGAAAATGCAAGCTGAAGTAGTACTGATTTCGCTTTTTTCTGTACCTAGGAAAACGAGTTGGCAGTTAAACACCTCGCAGAACTCGAGATGATTTGTAAGTAAAGTGAAACTATTTATCTAATTTGGGTAAAGGTAATGCCAAGTCCAATCCAATAACCCTTCTTGTGTCCCCTTTTGTCATTGTCTCTAGATATGATAAACAATCCAGACCAAGGGATGTGGTATGCCTTCCAGCTTACCGACCCTGGAGGTAATTCAAAATACTTATTAGTACTATGGATGGCTGGAAGTTTGCAGCTATATTCTAACCAAACACTACAACGGGTTACAAGTGAAATGTTGGTTACTTCAACCAGTCAGCTTATCTGTTGGAGTTTGGTTAGTTATAGTGGAGGGTTAATTGATGATATGGTCTTGTCGCTCATGTATTCTTTATCTGTTTGTTCCAGGGATTTAAAACATTATTGGGATACATTTAAAATTTACTTTGCAAACCCGTATTGTCTATTTAATAATTTCCCTTTTCCACAGATGAGGCTCAATCTGTAGATCTGATGCAGTTCAGGGAACAATTTAAATCTCACCTAAAAGAACTTGTGAGAGAAGTAAGTCCAATATTCCTCCTCACGCGGCAAATAAACTATAACGTTTCAACATTGAAAGATATCACCGTTTAACATCCTATATTTAAAGTATGATTTAAAAATTGCATTCAAGGTGTCCGTCAAAATAAAAAAACACACAGATGAAGCCGTTTGGATTCGGATTGCATGGGGAGACGCCTACTCTCGCCCCGACCATCTCAAACCAACATATGTTGTCCACTATCTTCAAACACCATATGTCTTTGTGACCCGTTTGACTTCAAAGCAAAAGCCCATGTTATCCCAGGTGAGGGTTCACTTTTATATAGTTGGTTACCAGGTTGTTGTTTCTTTTGTCTTTCCATTCCCGTTTAACAGATGTATGTTCTTTGCAGGCCATGGTTCTGTCCACCAGGTATCAATATTTCAAGGATGCCAACCTCAGTGGCCGGAATCTCACTGCCATTAGGGACCTGCTGATGAGGAAATATCAACAGGTTAGGTGTTTTTCAACTTTCTTTTTTTATTTTTTTCACACACACACCACACAAAGCTCTGTATGCCCAGTCCAAATATTACTTAAAAGCATCCATGTGCTAAGAAGTGTACTCCCGACACAAACATTTCCAAAATCAATATGTTATGACTTTAATGCATCATGTTGTTGAACTAGTTTCTCGTTCAAGTTAACCCATTGCACTTAGATTTTTGTTGAGGGTTCACAATACTTCCAGTGATTTAGAAAATAAAGTTGAATTATGGATTTGCTGTAAACCTATTTATTTTACTGTCAGAATTGTCATGCAATTAAGAGTACCACTGTACAGGAGAAAACAAAATTGAAATGTTTTTTGTTCTAATTTTAAGGTCTTCCCTACCAAGTATCTCAGCCCTCTCACAGAAAGAAAACAAACAAGTATGTTTATCAAATCATCATGACCAAAAGCCAGTTTTTCATATTATGTTACACATACTTTAACATTGTTTGTTTAGCTATGTATATTTGGCATTAACATGTACTTCTGGTTGATTTTTGCAATGTGATTGGATTTATTTGGCTTTCATTCTGTTTACAGACCCACACATAGAAAGAGAACAAGCTAAGCCTGCAGCAAACAGACTTCAGATGGCCTGTGAGGCCTTTGGTGGTGGGACGTTACCTCAGCTACAGTCTGCAGTTTACAAGGTATCCCGAGGCATGCTTTGTGTATTAAAAATACTTAGCTTCATCTTTAATAGCTAAGTATCAAAGTCTAGTAAACAAAATGCATGAATTGCACAGAGTCAGCATCACTCAGCATCACTTGGGGCTTTGATCATCTCATTTATGCTCTGTAATCTTTACTCAGCTGGAGACAAAGTTCAGAGACCACACCAACACACTCATGACGGAGCGAGAGGAGCCCTTCAGATGTGCTGTCAAATTTTCCAGCAAAAACCTCCTGGAGTCACTCAAAAACTGCGCATCTTCAGGTATTTGTCACAGCCATTTATGTTTTTGAAAGGAAATTATACTAACATTTTAAAATAAAAAACGATTCAATGTTTCATAATTCTGCAATTTCCATAAATGACCACACGAGGGCACATAAACACACGTTGAATCATCCCCTCTGTAATGCTCTTGTGACATTATCTATCATGAATATTTTGGTCGGTGCATTCAGAGTGTTTTCCTTAAATCAATCAAAAATAATTGACGGTCATTTGTTTTTTTTTACAGGAATTGCATCCACCCCAGTCACACCTCTGCTTTCATCTATACCCCTAAAAGGAAAGAATTATTTTGTCATCACAGACAATGGACCTGGTCCTTCCTCACAAATGCGCCAAACACAGAACTGATGGGCGACAGGGGCCGTTTCTCAATGTCGAGTATACCTGCTGCAGAGCCACTAGTTCAAGTATACTATGTCATTGAGTGGCGCCGAAGGACTGTTTAAATGCATGTTTAATGCCCAGCTCCATCATCGGCGCCACTCGATGACGTAGTATACTTGAAATAGTGGCTCTGCAGCAGGTTTACTCGACATTGAGAAACGGCCAGGAACTTGATTTTTAAAGGAGTCAAAGCATGGCGCCATGTCTGGACAACCCAGGGTTTGCTTTTATTGTTCTATCCTCAATCTCCTTGTTCAAGAGCCACTGCCCCTCCAAGATCTGTAGCAATTAATGTACCTTTATTACCCAGTTGCAAATATCTTATTAGTTGACGATCGATAATTGTCTTTTTTTTTTTTTGTGCAAGAATGTTATTTCTAGGAAATATATGTCCCAAATTGAATATAATGCTGTAACATTGTTTTGTGGAGTATCGGCTTGTGAGAGTGAACTTTAGTATTCACGCTCCTCATAATTTGGCGTTTAAAGTCAATGTCACAGGGTTTATTTAAGCTCCATTGTCTCAGCACAATGTTTTTAAAGGATACGTTAAAACTTTTTTCAGGTTTGTCTTGAAACTGTACTTGCATTCCCATATGTGCATAGATAAGTTACTGGAGTGTCCTGTGCAAGCTGGCCACAGAGAGATTATTCTCATCACAACTACAGTGTGATCAAAATACCCAACGCTCATAAGATTTAGCCATGTCAATTGAGTATTTTCCAAATGTAAAGTCTATGTTGTCAATAGCCCCCCATGTGTAACCCACAAGGACCCCTCCTTTTGTTATACGGTAGATCTGTGATACCTCCCTTTAACAATAAAATGAAAACAGGCTGTTATAATAACCATCAGTTCTCTTTGGTTCCTCTGTAGAGCTAGGCTATGGAATTGCTAAACTGATTCTATATATATATATTTTTGCTATCAGCTACAACCTACAAAAGTCGGTTTGATTTAAACAATTTCTAGAAAATGTCTGTGTGAGATCAAACTATATTATACCAACAGTTTTGGTTGAAAAAAGGAGTTACAGCTTCTTGAAAAAATGCAGTTTTAGTGCTTCAAACATAGCTTGTAAGGTGCATCAATACTACAGTGCATTAGTCATAAACATATTAAAGGAGTCAGTCATATTAGAAAACTTTAGTTTGATGGTTTACTTGTTTCATGTAAAACGGAAGCACGTCATTAAACCGGTTGTGACGTAAGATCAGCTGGTTCAGTCGTGCTAATAGTGGAGTGTTGCAGCCTTTCAGGCAAAGCTGAGGGAAGATATGCCAATGTTAATTCAATGCTGCTGCTGGAGGTCTCAGCAGAAAACAAACGGACTGTCAACATAGAAACATGGCTGCTTCTGCGACGAGCAGGGCGAATAACAGAGGTAACGCCACTAAAGACAGTCCGAGATGCCATGAAGAATCTCTGTCGCAGTCACGGGAAATAATTAAACCTACCATCACGGAGCTGACCAAAGAAGTGAGGACGAACATCCTCTGCACCGTGGAAGGATGTGGCAAGATTCTCCCCAACACACCTGCATTGAACATGCATCTTGTTAAGTCACACAGGATAAAGGTAAACCCTTAACTAAACCTGGTTAGTGCTTAACGTTAGCCTTTCGCTTAACGGCAATGCTAGCTTAGCTAACTCATTCTCGTGAAAACGCTGTCAACAAACAGGAAAACGCAAGTCATCCACAACAAGTTAATTTAAGCTGACGTGACGAACGATAGTCATGCTTGTTGAACACGAAGTCATGGTTAAACGTTTGGTAAATGTTGACTTATTCCTATGTGAGTGAATCTCCATGACAGTTGCATTTAGGGAGCTAGCTTCATGGTCACTAGCTAACGTATGTCATCAATTAATGATTGGGGTCGCATGTCATGGTTGGTGCTGAACTTACCGTATCAACATGTTTTATACAGCTAAGATTACATCTTAACACCTTAAACTAATGGACTGTTTGTAGTTTTTGGGAGGATGTTATTGGTTTGGCTAACGATAGGGTGTAAAGGGAAATCTCTTTAGGGAGTCTCTTTACATTTCAAAATATGATCACAGGACAGTACACATTCTACTTCCAATACTTAACAGACATCCAAGTGGAGGAAGCCGATGCATGTTGACCAAAGTCTACTTTTGACCCTGGCCCTTTTGTCCCCATGGCTTTTCGTGGGAGGCAGTCATTCACTGTTTCCCCTCCATGAGTGAAGTTCTTTGCTGGAAAAGGCTACATGTTGTCCTGAATTAGACTAAGCCCTTTGTAGGTGAAAACGATCGTTTGAATTAGATCTCAGAAGTAGTTACTCTTGCCAAGCTGAAAAAGTGTGTTTTTAAATGCCTGATTTGTGTTTTTGACAAAACATTTGTGGCACTATCTGTAGCTCTACTGCATCACAAGATAGAAGTAATTTATATTAGCTGATCATTACTCCTAGTTCTTACTGGCCATGAACACTAATACATTTCATACCAACTCATTCACTCAGCCCAGTTTGGATACCTTTCCTAAGTTTAATGCGCCCGCTTCGTGCTTGGCTATTGGCCTTTTCATCTATATCACCTACTTTGGCAGCAAGGAGAAGCAGAATTACACTATTACTCTGACTTACCACCGTATTAAAATGTCTCCCAGAAATAAGAAAGGACCAAGGCTATAGCCACATAAATGGCTGTGTGTTGACCCCTTAGTATCAGAGCAGTGCATTTCATCCAGTTTTAGACCACATCCAGTACTGACTAATGACTAATAATAATCTTGACATGACTCAGGCGTAAGCCTATATGACCAGATGATGTAGATGAAGTCAACTAAACACAACATTCAATGGGAGCAAAACATCTGTTTATACTAACTCCTTATGACAAACAAAATGGTGTCAGCTTTAGCTGTTCTGTTCCCTTCAGTGTTAAAGCAGACCGAGGTCACCTTGACCACTGGAAGGCGGCATTGTTTGATCGCGTGATGGGTTTTGTCTGATTCCCCCATGCAACTTATAATCAGTGTTGGTGCTTTTCTCTGTAATGAGTAAGATTTGCTTGTCTTTTCTACAATGATGTACAATATGATAACATCTGCCTTGGGACAAGAATCAGTTACATCCCACACTGCCAAGCTCTTTAGTTTCTTTGTCAGTTATGTAAAGCAGAGCCTAGATTTCTTCAAAAGGTTATGATAAAGCACATGGCATATTTAGCTACACTGAGGAAGGGAAGAAACACATTTGCGACCATCACTTTTAATCACAATCCTTTTTAAGATGGATTAAAATTGAGTACATAAAGACAACATTGTAGAATTTGAGGTATACAGTTGGTGTTGTGTGCCTTTCAAATCAGTTAATGTAAGATATATTGTAGTTCAAGTAAAACCTAAGTTTATCCGCTAAAATCTTAAAGGTCTTTAACAGTAAACTTGTTAGATTGCCATCTTAAAACTTTGTTCAACCCTTAGAATAACACATAAGCATTGTAGTGCTATTTGATGGTTGCGCTTGTATTTATGGTAATCACATAATTCATTGAGTTGTGCAACGCTCACTGTAAGCCATGATGATTAACGGCATGACAATTCTGACTTTCCTCTCTTTTGTCTTTCACCGACTTTGTCACCCTCAGGATGGTCTTATCAATCCTACGGTCAGAAAAGACATGAAGGGCTCTCAGAAGCTCTACTGCTGTCCAATTGAGGGTTGTCCCAGGGGGCCGAACAGACCCTTCTCCCAGTTCTCCCTGGTGAAACAAGTAAGCCTTTTCTCCAAGGATCTGTTATCCTGTCCATGCAAGTAATATAGCAAAATGATGAGGTTAATAGCTCCCAATGTTTCACTTGGTACCAGCGGTCATAACAAAGAAACTAATATTAATAACTAAGTACATTAACTGAAGCACTTATGTTACTTACTACTTCTACTTTATATGATGTCTGAGAGAAATAGTGTAAACTCGACTACATTGGTCTGACAGCCTTAGTAACTTTGCTAATTCTAATTTATCTTATTAAGCTACCCTGCAGTAAAACATTAAATAAGCTTTACAGCTTTCAACAATAAAGGGATAGTAATTGCATCTACAATTGTAATATAGAAATATATAATACTGAAATAGAGTATTCTGCTTAATGAGTACTCTTCCTTCCGGTAATTGAATTATATTTTGATGATACTTTTGTTCTCATACTTGAGTAACATTTTAAATGCAGGATTTAAACCAGTAACACATTCTACGCTTTTTTTCACACTGGTATAATTACTTTGTAAAATATCTGTATACTTTTTTCACTGATCGTATTGTCATACTGATATTCTGTACAAACTTTGAAGTCCACTGAGACAAATGTAACATTTGTGATATTGGGCTATATAAATAAACATTGATTGATTGATTGATTGACTGATCGCTACCAAAAATGTTACACATGTACATTTTACAGGATCAAATTAGTACTGCTAAAGTGTGTATATATATATATATACCCAAATACTTTTCTACTGCCATGTGTTGATCAACAACAACAAGCTATTAGCATTATTTATCAGCGTACCTCATATCCTCTTAGATATTTAACCAATCGCACATTGCTGAGACCAACTGTTACTTACTGTTCAAATCAAGTCACCTTCAAGATTAAACAATAAGATAAGATAAGAGGTACTTTATTAATCCCAAATTGGGACATTTTAGTTTAAAAAAAAAAAAAAAGAAGCAATTGTATGAAATGAATTTCTTGCTCATGTATCTGTTTCATTGTAGCACTTCATGAAGATGCATGCAGAGAAGAAACACAAGTGTTTTAAATGCAACAATGGCTACAGCACTGAGTGGGACCTCAAGAGGCACATAGAAGACTGTGGGAAGACCTACCACTGTACCTGTGGCTGCCCCTATGCTAGCAGAGCTGCTCTCCTCTCCCACATCTACAGGACAGGACACGAGATCCCTACAGAACACAGGCATGTACCTGCATGGCTCAGACTGATTTATATTGAAACCATTCAAATAAATATGGCTAAATATTAATTTCGCTTTCTCTCTTCTATTGTCCTGCTTTACAGAATTCCTCCAGTAAAAAAGCGAAAGATGGAGAAACTGTTAGGTGGCTCTGAAAAGGTAAAGATAAACGAGTCGACCTGTCGGATCATGTCAGTGAGTCAAGAGCTGACAGACACTGCTCTTTCTTCTCACACTACCATCCATATCCAGGACTCGGGGAATCAGAGCTCAAACCCCCGTAAGAGCCTCCAGAAGATGCTCCTCCCAAAGCCCAAGATGGCGCTGGTCAGTGTTCCTGTGATGCACCTGGCCCACCTGCCTGTCCTCCTTCCATCTGCAGAAGGGGGGACTCTGAGGTCTGTCATGCTGGCAGTGGACAGCCATGGCTCCGTCCGCACCCTTCACCTTCTGTCACATCCCCAAATTGATACAAAGAGTCTGTGTTTCAAAAATAGCATGCCTACGTCCCGCTCCAGCCTTGGGGCTATCAGCACAGGGGTACAGGTCAGTCTGGACCCTGCAGATGACTCAGCTAGCCTGGCAGGACATAGAGGAAGAAGCACCTCCACCAACATTCAGACGGACAAATCATACTTGTCGAAAATGCCAACAGGAGTAGGGGTTGGTGAGGGCCTGGCATTGTGCTCTGTGGGTGAGTCCTCTGTGTCGTCCTGCTCCCAAACAGACATCAGCGTGAGTGCCCAAGTCCTCCTGCCAGTCAGCGTTGAAACACAGACATTCCCCCCCCGAGCCAGAGCCACTTCTTCTATTGCGGCTCAGACAGACAGTCAGTGCACGAGTCAAATTCCCTGCTCCTCCTCCTCCTCCTCTCTGCCCCCATACAAAACCAGGCAGACGCAGACATATGTTTTTGTGCCACAGCCAGAGGAGAAGGTGCAGGACCAGGCCATCCTGTGCTCCGACCTATTCGACAGCGTCTCCACTCAGACCGCTCTGGAGATGGACGACACCCTCAATGCTGCGGGAGGCGGTATGTGTTTCGGGGTGCAGACTGATGAGCTCAACTCAAACAACATGGCAGATAACCAGACCCAAACAATGACCTTGTTAAATGACCTAGAAAATATTCTGTCAGACAGCATGTCAGGCCACCAGGTGCTCTCAGTGGCCTCTGCAGGCTGTGGAGCAGGTCTGGGATCTGTTCAGGAGCAACACACTGGCATAGACTTTGACTTTGAAGAGTTTCTTAATGCTGTCCACATCCAGACCCAGACAGAGGAGAGTGAGCTGGGAGGACTGGGTGGGGACACGCCTCTGGAGTCTCTGGACATCCAGACCCAGACTGACTTCCTCCTGATGGATGAACTGGACCAAAGTGAGGGACCAAGTCGGACCCAGGCCAGTGACCTGGAGCTATTTGATACTCAAACTCAGACTGACCTCAATTTCTTGTTGAACGCCGGAAGCCACATGCCCCTGAGCAGCATCTTACGACATTCAAGCTTTTCCATGAGCACTGAGTCTTCAGATACAGAAACACAGACAGATATCCCTTCATTTGCAACAGGTCTCTCTGCTCCGACTCCTCTGAGTCAGGGTGAGCAGGCCCGGCTGCTGAACAGCACAGAGACTCAGACTGTGACCAGCCAGTCAGACAGCCTGGGAAACCTCTTCCTAACTAGCAACGAAACACAAACCGTCATGGATGACTTCTTGTCAGCAGACCTGGCGTGGAATATGGAGTCTCATTTCAGCTCCGTGGAAACCCAGACATGTGAGGAGCTCTGTGCTCTCCTGCAGAACCCGGAGAAACCCAACAGCTGAAGCCCTCTTAGTGAAGCTGCTCCTGCAGTACAGGTCTCTCATGCCGTTCTGTTCCTGTGAGAGGAATCAGTCCTAGCAGTTAGCAGTCTGCGAAAATGTCTTTGAACATTCCACTGTAGACATCTTGTCCAGAGCCTTTCCAGGTGTACATCCTCACAGCTCTCCTGCACTTTATTAGCTCAATGGGCATGATTTGATAGCTCCTGTGACCGTTTACATATTTATTTGCACATTAAGTAACATATTGTTTGTGTCTTCTCTTAAATGCCAGTTTACTTCTATGTTTCAGTGTATAACCAATCTGCTTTTCACTCTGGTCTTACTTGCTATTTAAAAATAACAGATTTCATCAATGTTAGATCTGCACTAAAAAGGGATAACATCTTTAGCTGTGCGTATACAAAGGTTATGACAGCATTCTGATGTGCATTTACTGCATGAAAACAATTTCATCTCAGCTGTACAGCAAACAACATTTTGCATTGAGTTTACGTACATGTTTTGAAATGTGCATGAAGCCTTTACTTGGTCAGCACAGTAACATCATATATCTATTCTCAGCTTGCTCCCTTGTTGATAGTGGTTCATTAGTGGCAGCAAGAATATAACATCTGAATAACATCCTGTGAGCTTTACAGCCAGTGGAAAACTTGACTAGCTTTATGTTTTCCAAAACCCCATTAAACCTTTAACAGTGAACAAAGCATCGCTAAAAGCTGTTAAGAGGCATCTCTGAAACACACCATTACTCATGCAGATGTGGCACAAGTGAAAAGTAATTGTTTGTCTTATTGTTGCACACTTTTCATTGAAATGTGATTGTGAAGTTTGATGTTGTGTAAACACTCTAGTGTGTATGGGCCTCTATAGCTAAGCAGTCTGTTCAAATCAGTAAGCAGACTAAGCTGTCGGTGTCTTTGACTTATTCATTAGCTAGCTGTAAGAGTATACAGTAGCAGTGCTGTGTTACTGTACAGAAACACATAGGGGATTAGAGCAAGGATTAGCTCAGAGCTATTGTGTGTGTCCACAACCTGATTTTGACTGAAAATAACCTTGTTGAATATATTCCATCATCAGATTTTCAACCCTTAACAATCAGAACAGTATTTTAATGTATTGCTATTTGTTTCTATTATTTGGAATGTTTTGATTTTTATTGTATTGTTGCACTAAGTTACCTCACTAAACAGGCACCAGACTGTGTTGTACATGGGAAACATGCTATAGGCCTTGATTATTTGTTCATTTTGTTATCTTGGTGCCTTAACCCAAGTACTAACTTTAGTTCTGTTACATACGATTTGCTGCTTCGAAGTCATTTATTATTAATGCTACTTGTTTTGGAAAAGTATCCAACTCAAAACGTGTCATAATCCTTTAATTCTGTTCCTTTGCATGTTTAATCTATTCTGTGTTGGTATTTTCATCCTGTTTGCATGACATATCGGACTGTCCCCAGTCTTTCTCCATGGTTTCAATGGAAAGATGTGTGGTTTGTCACTTGAAAATAATGCTATGCAGCATTTCATCAAGAATCAAATGGATGATGACGTTTCACCAACGAGGCGTTTTGGGGAGGTCTTTTCTGTGTTAGAGTTTTACTCGCTACAGGGTGTACTTTAAGGGTTTTGACTCTGCAGACCGTTTACATGCAGAAAAACCTTCATAACACACAAGGGGACGGGTAATAACCGGAAAAGCATGACATGGGACCTTTAACATAATTTCTTCAAGACCATTCGACTCCTTTTTGGAAGGGTTGTTAATGCTTTGTTAGATTTAAACTGAAGAATGTACACAACATACACTGCCCAAGGTAAACATACTCTATTTTTTGCACACACCAAACGGTTCAAGAATCATTTCCCTGTGTTAATAACGATTTTTACCCTATGCTACATTTAAATAGTTCTTGTATTGAGTTAAATACTTCTTGTTCGTGGTTCCTGAATGCAAATACAGCATTACAGCTGCTCCCTGCTGGTTTAGTGGCACAGGGGAATGCCTTGCTTTAATGCAGATCTCTGTAGAAGCCTTGTCAGTCTCAAGTGTCTGTTACAGTGCTTTATTTTTCCTCTGTAGGGAGTGCATGCAGATATTTTCCCAGCACAAAATATTTGTCTAAGAGGAATTGACGTTTATGTTGCCTATATGTGTAGTGCTAATGGTTGCCTTGATTAATTGTTGATGCTACACTACAGATGTTCTAAATAAACTGCTGGAAAGTGTACGTTGTGCTACTTATGACTTTTTTATAGGATAAAAGTGGAAGAAGAAAAAACATTGCACTCAACCAGGATCAGTACAAAGGTTTCTCACACACACACATCGCTCGGCTTGCTTATCGAAACGTTCTCCTTTTTTTAAGTGAAAAAAAAAAGAAACATTTTATAAGTTTCCCTGAATGTAATGTCTTTCATCTTTTCTCCGTGACTCTTGAGTCCTGGCTTGTGCTGGATATCGCAACTCCTTACAAATGTTTGGAGTAACCATTTTATTTTGCATGCACATTCAGGTAAGACAAGAGTGTGGTCTAGTAAGTTACACCGCTGGTCTTTTGTTTATATAACAATACCACAAGCGGATCGTGGATACTTTTTTATTTAACAGGGCAGCTATACAAAGAGGTAGTAAAAAAAACAAAGTAACACAGGATCATCCCAGTTGTAAATCATGTGGCAGTAATTGGCTGTCCTTTGGAGACCAACATGACACAGTACAGTATGATCCCAGCATATAGTGCAGCACTGATAACCCTTACATAACCCAGATTCCATCCACAATTACCAGGAAGCCAACACACTGGCTGATATAAAACTAAAGTTGTCTACAATTACATTTGATAGAGCACATGCAGTTTGGCAACAGGTTGTATCTTTATATCTAGTTTTGACCTATGTGGCGGAGGTTTAAATAGTAGAAAGTGTGAAGCACACGCACAGCCATGTTTCTTATGAGGTAGTTACACAGTTGCTAGGTAACTAGAACAGCTTAATGAGCACTTGTGGGATTTGTTCATGACAAAATAAAGGTCTAAAGCAATTAAACAGCCTAACGTGAATGCTAACTTGACTGTCATCGGTATTGATAGTATGTTGTACCCGTTGTACCACATTCTCTGCAATGAGTTGTATGTCTCATACCAAATGTTGATGTTAACATTGTATGTGGTGGTGAGGCTAAGACATGATACACGTTAGATAAAATAGGTTTTTACTTGATTAATCCTGAGTTGCACATTACATGCACACAGTCTTGCCGGTGTGCAAAAGGGGTTGTGCACCTGCAGTGCCAGGGTGGAGGGCCTGAGTGAGGCTCTTTCCCATTGAGTAGCTGGTGCCGTGCACTGTGTCAGGTTTGGAATACACTGGTAATTGATACCTCCTGGGGACAGAGACACTCACAGAAGAGAACAAGTGGGGGTTTTGCTGACATGTCCGGTACTTGGTGGTCAGTGCTGCAGAGTTAGCAGGAAGCTCAGGGTTAGCAATACGGTCCACTCTTGATCCACTTTTCTTATCAAACATCGTTAAGTTTTCTTCCGGGATTTCTCCTTCTGGAGCCTTCCTTCCACTGCAGGGCTGGCCTATGACTTTTAGAGGATTCTGATGTTTTGATATAATTGGTGGTAAAAATGTGAAGTTTTTAATGGGAACCACCATGTTGTTTGGCCTATGTCTGTGTCTTTGAGGCTTAGTGTGCCTGTTCTCTGAGTATCTGGAGGGTAGATGGTGATGCTGCAGGGTCTCTCTGAGCATCCCTTCCTTTTCTGTCTTCTCTTTGTGTAATAAATTAGACACGGGGTCCTGCATTGCACTGGGGACAGGCCAATCTGAGGGGTCTTTCTGCAGAGCTGCAGCAGCAGGGTTAATCCAGTATTCCGTCGGCTGGTTTAGTGACATGGCCTTCTTAAAGCTGTCATGCAGGCCCTCTTCAGACTCACAGTGTTGCTCTGCAATGCTGGCTGAGCTGTCTGCTTTAGGGATTGTCGGTTCAACATACAAGGGGGACAGGGTCTCAGCCTCCTTAGGCTTCGGTTTCTTGTATATCTTCTGATTCAAAAGTATGCAGCTCAGTGGAGCAACTCTGGCCCAACCATGAACCTGTTGTCAAATGAAATATAATGTTAATATAAAAACAACAGTTGTGATATGTTTAAACCGAAAACCGACAAAGATTGCTAAGTCAAATTTAAAAGTAAGGTAGTGGAAATTATGCTAATATTGTTACCTCGTTCCTATGTGTATTACATAATATCATGAACAAAAGATATGCAGGATTTAAAATTAAGAGAGCACTGTAGCATTATCAGTTTCTCTGGTGTTATTAGTTATAGGTGTTTAAGTAAAATGAATGGTTTTTATTTTATTCTATAAACTACTTACAAAATGTCTCTGTTGAAAATCAACAGACACTGGAATGGAATGGCTATCATACATATAGAGATATCGATTTAAGAACAATTTGGAATAGTCTCTTATTTTTTTCCAGAGCTGTATATAAGGGATACATCAACATGTGGAAATATAATTATTTAGACATTTAAAAGTAAACGTTTATACGATAGTTATTCTGATTTTAACATCATGTTGACTCCTGTGTTAGAAAACACTTACTCATGATCAACATACACTGTAATATAATTCACAAAATCAGATTAAGGCAGGCAGTAGAAAAAGGTTTGAAGAAATAAGATACGTACAGCTTCTTCCCAACCAGAGTAACAATGATACTCATGGGGCTCCAGTTCGTTCATGAAGACCTCCTCACTAAAATCTAGAAGGGCATCAGCATGTCTCCTTTCTGGTGTCTGCTCCCCCACTGCCTCCCCCTGTGTTGAAAGCTCCTTGTCTGATCCATTCACAGATGAGGTATCCACTTCTTTTAAAGTCGACATTATGTAGTTAACTCATGTGCTTCATTGTGAAATCTAGACAGAGAGAAAAAAAAATATCAGAAAAACAGGAAAGAGCTGGCTCAGGCTACATTTAGATGTTACACTTGTACTTATTTTGTTTTAAACTTCACTCACCAAAAGGAAGACATCTGTAGTCCCATTAAACGCATTAAACGGATTTGTATAAGTATTCCCATAGCAGAAAGCAGCATTCACAGATAACTATCGTGGTGATCTGTCTTTCCGGTCCACAGAGTTTTCCCAAACACAAGTGCAGAGACTCTGAATGCCATTACAGACGAGCTGCAACGACGTCGTCATAGCAACCCGTAGAGGCAGCACGGGGGAGATGTGACGTAGAGAAAAGGGGAGGGCTCCTGCTCCCCATTCAGATCAATTATTACTTCCCTGGTAAGCCAAAAATATTCAGTTAAACTCTTATACAGTACAATATATATTATAGTAAAACATAAGAAAACTGAGACTTATGTTAGGAGGCTGCTCATGATAAACGTGATTCATTATTATTATTATGAATGAGCCGAACCGTCCTAACACAGAACATGCCAACATTCAATAAAATGTGATAAAAGACAGTTATTTTTGTATTTTCTGTCAGCATTTGGGTCTCTCGTGTAGTCGTGTTACAATTTGAAAAGGAGGAAGTTACTGGATTGTGAAGGAGGAAACCACATTGGTAAATTGCAACGTTCACTTCTGCACGTAGAGCAATAGACGTCACGCAGGCTCACGTCACTTGAGAGAGAACCCCACATGATGTGAGGGACGCTGCCGATGGGAAAGTGTTCTCTTTTTTTGTATTATTTATTTTCAATGCGTACCAAGCGATGGCATATATTCTTCACAACCTTAAAATACAAGATCTGCAATAGTTGGAGTCGCACTTTGTTGGTGCACGCACAGCCACGGCTTGGTTTATTGGTCCAGAGCAGCACAGTGTCGACCTCTGACGCAGCCGGAGCACCTATCCGCGAGGGCTCTATCTCTCCACGCCGGTCTTTTTCATCACGACCACTTCGGATCTGCAGTGCATAATCTGCTGTGTTTTATGGAAGCGGACTCTCTGCATCCTGTCGTTGTCATGCTGCCCCCAAAGAACTGCCTTCCCAGGAACTACAGCTGCATAGCCGGACTGTTCGGAAGCCTGGCATCAGCAAACCCGAGGCTTGATGATGGGGAAGATTTTGACATGATCAACGATAACTGTGTACCTACCGATAGCCCCGTGGTGGAAGAGAGACCCCGGGGAAGAGAGATCTGCCTGAAGCCTCCACAGAGTCCAAATCTGCGTCGGAGATGCAAGTCTCTCCCCACACCCACAGAGAGGGCCAAGTTAGAGATCTCACGCAGCAGGAGTCCAACCAGTCAGAAAAGGGTTCGGTTCGCCGACTCCCTGGGCTTGGAGCTCATTTCAGTCAAGCATTTCGATGATACAGATGAGCCAAATGTGCCTGAGCGCATTTTGGCCAAATTACCCAAAGGACACCTGCACCTTACTCATTTGGACACAAAGTTCCCACGTACTCCTGCGCAGCCTGTATTCATGGAGTTGCAATTCACCAACCCAGGTACACTACCCGAGTTTGAGCTGAGAGTGAGGGAGGTGCACGTCTTGTTAGAGACAGTGGAGGCAGATGAATACAACCTTTCCGGGGTTGTGCGCGTGTTAAACATGGCTTTTGAAAAGAGCGTCTCTTTGCGGTATTCCCTTAACAACTGGATAACATTTATGGACAGCCTGGCTTCCTATGTGCCAAACTCAAACAACGGTGACACCGATAAGTTCCGTTTCAAGATCGTCATGCCTACTTACCTTGACAACGGAGGCACGTTTCAGTTTGCAATTAAATACTGCGTCGGAGGGCAAGAGTTCTGGGACAATAATAATGGGAACAACTACAAAGTGAAGCGTCACCGACTCAAGATGTCCCCGCCGCGAGAATGGGAGAATGGATGGATTCATTTTATTTGAGCTTTGTCGTCTTAAGTGGCACACTGCGTGCGTAATTTGCGCGTAACTGATCCCTGGAAACCTTAAGTATGACTGTGGCTTTTTTTAAATGTTTTTTTTTCTGCCATTGCCAGCTACATGCTGTGACCATCGCTGTGACACAAAAAATTCTACCACAATAATTCAAATATTTGTCCCGCTGCGTTAACAGATCGAGTGGCGAATACTACAGCATAAGCCTTTGATAGGTGCCTGGTTAGGGATGCTCTTTGATCATTTGCCTTGATTTCAGGGCTCTCTTTACAGCTTGGTGCCCTTTGGGAGGGCATGTTCACGTTATGTAATATAGAAACACGTGCCACGGAAAAACGTGCCAGGCAATGCCGACTATAGGCATCACAGTCCCTGTTAGGTGAAGCTGTTAAATGGTTGGGGGCAAGGAGCTGTTTCAATTAGTTTGCTTTGCATGCTTGCGTGCGTGCATTCATATTGGCTTGATGGGAAGCAGAAAGCATGGCATCTTGGCTGATATGGATGCCAAGATAACCTAGTGCATATTCATCCAGCATTCTCCTGCAGGCTGGGAGAAACACACCCACATTGTCTTACTTGACAGACAGAAAGAAGTGGCAGGTTGTTTTATTAAAACATTCAATGTATGATTTCCCACTGTCATGCCATGGAAAAATGCCTTATTTTAAGCCATGATTTGGGAAGTTGTGCATTGAATATTGTACAGTATTCTCTTTATCAGGCTTGAAAGCATTAGATTACATTTTAAATAAGGCCCTTTAGGTACTGGGAATCAGTCAGTGTCCATGGCTTTCAATCCAGGGACACCATACTTAGTCATAAACCAGCAGCATTTGCATCTATCCCAGAGCCATTTTATATTTTTGCTGAATAACTGTTTTGCTAAATTCGAAAATCAAGAAACCCTTACCAAAGTTCAAGACTATGAAAACGTTTTATTTAATGATTAAACCATGAAACATATTCCATCAAATCATAAACGCTGTGTTTATAAAGGATGAATTGCAGTTATCCCATGCTGTATTGTGATCAGAATTAACAACTTGAGTGTGGTTTTTGTACCACCAAAGAAAATATATTTAGTAGCAATGGTTGCAAAGTAAAATATACCTCATTACTAGCAGACCTTTTCTCTTCTATTTCAGGTAGACCGTTTTAAAACAGATGTTATTTTCACAGGAATTATTTTACAATGGATACATTGAATCAGAAAAGAATTATTGCAAATGTGCTGAATCAAAACACAATGTGTAATCATTTTTAATGTTCTTTATTCATGTGTAACTCTGTTTTCTTAGAGCACTGTTGTTTATAGACAAAGTAGCTATTTCACAAATGACTGTATTTACAGGGCTTTAAAGGTACACGATAATATCCTCATTCGCCACTGTGCAAGAATAGAGCTGCTCCTTAAATATTTTGAACCTCCTGAGCCTGATATTTCCATCCTTAGATGGCAAACTGTAATCAAATTACTTCATTTCCAAACCATATGCATAGATTGGTGTTAAACAACCAGTCTGATATCTCCATACAACAGCAGTCATACATTTTATTTTTTTTATCGGGTAATCTTCCAAACTTTCTTCCGAACATTTCTGATAATGTACTCTGTGGCAAACAGGCTATACTATTTGAAAATGTCAATATTCATCACGCTGATCTTGAGGTGTATGATATTATTTATGTTTTTAGTGTAGAAACTTGATTTCAGATCAGCAAGAGAAACAACAGACGGGATGTTTTTAATTCCAGTGCTCTGACTTTAATCTGAACAACACTTCTGTGTTCTGTGTTTACATCATCTCGGCATCAGAAGGAAGCTTTCCTTTAATGAGGCCATCATGTTGGGATGGGGATAAAGACTCTTCCTGTAACCACTTAGTTTTTGGAGCAGTTCCACTGTGTTTCCATCAGTATTGTTTGTCTATAAATCCAACACGGTTTCTGAAGCTATACCTGTTGTTGTTAGAATCGTTTTGCCAAAGTGAGAGGTGGCCAGCACTGAGGTCAAATGTTGCTTTCTCTACTTTTATCACATCTAGACCTGCTTTTTATTTATTTCAATACACTGTGGATATAAAGATCTGGCCACAGCAGAGCTTACTGTGTGCTATGTTTTTAAATCAGTCAGTATTTGCATATTGTCTGCTTTGGCCTGTGTAAACTTTGTTCAAGCCTTGATGCTGTGCAACACCAGAAAGCATTAACTATCCAGTCTGACGTGGGTACTGAGATGCATCAATACCAATTAATCACTGCCAAAACAGATTGTGTTTTTTAGGTTTTAACGTTGGGTTTTAACAAGTCCTGACAATATTTGCTCGGTCAATTAGTTTGAGATTACTTGACATAAATGACTGTCGGAATATGATCCTTTCTCCATTTTTCATCCAATGTGACTCTCTGGTTAAAGTTTACAAAAGTTTGGAAACTCTAAGATAGCAGTGTCCAGTTTTAGGCTTGTTAATCCAACACTGCTGTTGTTATTGGTGCATCCCTACCATAAAGAAAACGAAGGGCTTCTGGTCTAATTAGATTTTCACCTCAATGTCAACGTAACATTTTGCATCCGATCTCACTGATATTTAAATATGTATGTAAATGTATTAATGTTTCATATTGAATGTCTTCCTGTTACTATTCTATGTTGTGTGTATTTTGAAGCATTATGAAAGCAGTATTGAGGGAAGCGAGAGGTAAAAGTCTGTGAAGTTGGAAAATAATATATTATGTGCCCAACCAAATTCTCAAAGCACACTTACTATTAGATTTAATTATCAAACCTTTATTAAATATAAGTTAAAATAAGGCTGCTTGTAATATTGGTTATACCAATCAATGCAATAATTTGTCTCAAAAGAACGTTGTGAGAAAGGTATTGCAGAATTTCCCTAAAATAGGTACCAACATGTGAGCAATCTGAATGAAATGAGTACTTCGGAAACCCATGTGCACAAATATGGGTGTGCAATGCCTTATTAAAAACATTTTACAAAGAGACATGAAGCAAGATGGAAGAATGCAAGTGCTTGTTTGTCGAGAAATAATGTGATTTCTAATGGGTGGAAATATGTGCACTGTAGACATGACAAAGGGACAAATATGTGCAAGAAAGGGAAAGCAAGGTGCACTTTGATAGTAGATACGTTTTGGCATGAATGACGTATGATTGTAGCTGACACTGAGTAGACTTTGTCAAAGCAGGTCCAATGCACTTTGAGTGGGAACAAGGAAAGGATTATGGCTGAACGTCACTGTACATTATAAATGACATATTATCCATGCATAGCTACTAACCAAGATGTTTTTCATTCTTCTGCTCTTTTCTCTCACTGTGAAAAGCCTCAATCACGTCTGTTGTATGTATAGCCATTGTATGACATAGAATTTATTTCAGTGAGTTTTGTTTTGTGTATTCTATGCAACCACTTCCATTTGTAACACCTAAGTCATCGGACTGTGTTAATCTATATTGTGATCTGTCTTTTATTTTGTCTCTTGCAGTGAACTTTATTATTAACCATGTTTGCATGAACAACTGTGACATACATTTATTTAGTTTTCTAATGTAACCTATATTTTGTTAAAACAATGGTTGATAAAGACATTTGTGATGGAAAAAATTACTCTGCCAGTACTTGAAACTATCAAAAATGTTATCTCAATACCTTCTAGCTCCTAATTGTATTGCTTAATGGTAATCAATCAATAAATCACATCTCTTAGAATCTAGAGAAACTGCACTGTATTTATTATAATAATTTAAATAAGATATTAGAGTGCATGTGTTATAATATGCAGGGCTGTTCCTGTGTGTGTTCCCGAGGTGTCTGACTTAGATCAGCTGAGCATCTCAGCTGCTGCTGGCGCCCATTCATAAAGCAGCACACTGCAGAGGGCTGCAGCCATCGCCATTGTTGTCATGGCTGCGGAAATGTCTTTGAATTGATCACAGTCCGACACCACGCCCCCTTTCTGTTGTTGGAATGGGAGGGGTTGGAGCCAGAGAGCTGAGCAAATGTGCAACACACAGCATGTAAAAGATGGGAAAAAACACACTTTATTTGACCTTTTTTTGTTGTTGTATCCCCATATACATATAAGAATGCCCTCATGGCTCAAAGAGTAAGTGCATATATTTAACTTCAGACAGACTTAATGCAGCTGTGTGTTCAGCTTTACTTTAATCAGCTGTTAGTAGTCTTTTAATCATATATTAGATCTGAACATTTTTAAAATATCCCCGCACTTCAACATCTTAGATGCTCAACCGATGCATTGAGTATATCCTCTAAGATTCATAGCTTATTTGTGTTTTCTTTTATTTCAATTTATTTCTGTGTTAGTGGTCCAAATAATATAAATATTATAAATATAGCAAAATACAATAATTTTGCAATCTCTTTACTAAAGCTCTAAAGCTCTCTCTAAATAGCGAAGGCCATTCTCATATAATAAATATTTAGCCAACTGGCAGGCAATTAGATAAAGCCACAGCATAGAGCACATCGACAAAGCCTCCAATTCTTTCATTCACTAATGAAAGAATTGGCTAATAACGGTACAGTGATTTAATGCGATCTTGACTGATGGAAAGTGAAGCAAAGTTTTGTTTGTGGAACACAACAAACATGCATTTACAGCCTATCCACTTATTGGAACACAATGGATATGTGCTGCATTTGAAGATTACCCTTGCATGTGTGGCAGGTGTAGTTGTTTAGGTGTTGTATTTGGGAGCTTATGTGTTAGGAAACACAATCCTGCCTAATCTTCTTGTTAACCTAAAGCAGTGATGAGTGATGTGTTGACCCCCAGTCAGAGGAAGTTCAGTTCAACGTTGTTTACCTATAGTTCTGTTAAAGGCCTCCTGACTGTTTCTAGCTGCTCTGTATTCCAGCTCAGTGCTTTCAGAAACCAGTCAGTGTGAATCCATGAAGCCCGTCAATACAAATCTGCTGTGAGATCCCAATTCAATTCTAAACTTAGAGCTACTAAGCAGTTAGATTGAAGCAGAACATGAAATAAATCCCCAGAATACAGATAAAGAGAGATTCTCAGTGAGTGGTGAAGCAGGGAATTAAGATATTCACGGTTGGCTTTTCCTGCAACGTGGTTCATTTATCTTCTGTGGATTTATTTCACTTGTAACTTTCATTTGATCTCATTTCTATATATTTGACTTTTTGGTCGAGTGTGAATCAAGTCAGTCAATATACAAAGGCAAGTGTTTTGTGTGCTTGCCTGAGTAAAAACAAGCTGTGGTAATTAGGAAAAATTGTCATGCTGTGTAACAACAGCTGCTTATGTAATGTGATGATGACGTTTTGATTGTTCTCTCCCTCCGGGGTCTGGCTTTATTAAACTGCAACCACAGAGCCATTTTCCCCACACCTGCGTAGCTTCTAATCCTAAGTGTGTCCTACAGCTCTAATAACGTGGTCAAGTCGCCGTAACACAAATAGGTCTCACGATTTCTAGTTTGAAAACTGAATGTGGGGCATTTAGAGAAATGCTGTGACATGACATTAATCCTGACTCAGCAGATGCCATGTAGAGCTATAGCGTAGGGAACAGTCACAGCCTCATCTCAGTGAGCACTGGATCTGAATAATTAATCAGCTAAAAGGTCTTGACAACTTTGGAAAAGTAATGTTGTTGTTTTGAGTTGTCTACGTAGACAGCCCACCAAAATGTCTTCCTTTTTCATTTCACTGCAGCTTCTTCTTTTACATCAATCGTCTTTATTCCCCTCAGGGTGAAGCAACCATTATGTCGCTTTCCCCAAAACCTGTTAAAACTGAACTTTCAAAGGACAGAGTTTCCTTTATACACGCACCCTTCACTCTTTCACAAAAAGATGGAAATCACGTAGGCAGGAGTCAGACTGAATCTTTGTCAAACAGCCTGCTCTCACCTTTCCTTTCCTTCCCTCTTTACAGCACATTTCTTATTTCCTTCTCCCACCTTACTTTATTTTCATCTTCGAAATATTTTTTAGAATTTTCTGTGTTTATTGCCATATATAATATTTATATTTGTGTTGAGGTATTTCATCCTATACATGATTATGGTGCTGCTACTGTACCTCACAGTGATGCATTTTCTTTAAAAAAAAAAAAAGAAAAAGCCAAAGGGAGCTCAAACATTCACACGCGAAAGTGTCTCATGAAATATCCAAAGACCGCAGAGCGTGTTGTTGTTTTTAGAGTTTTATAACGGTTCACTGAGAGATAGAGGATCATGAAATGTTGATGAAGGTGGAAACCCAAGTTGCATCAGGAAGTGCAGCGAATTTAAGAAGATGCAGGTTTAGCTTTTGTCCCATTCATGTGAAACCCTATTAGTAGATCAACAGACAGCTCGAGAGAAACATAAGCACACATACAGATAACCAAACCATCCTATTACATTGGGCGTATCTTTATCCGCGGGGTCTTTCCGGACATGAAGCTCTCAGTGGAAGTATGCCAACACACCATATTTAGACATGGTAAAGAAAACAGGTTAGGGAGGAAATGCTTTCCCAACAAAACAATGGCCATGTACCAAGGCTGCATACCAAAGTTAGTCAGATAAACCTAATGTGATTTATAACTTCCTCTGAGTCACAAAGAGTTGACCCATGGGTTACAGATGTCCTTTTTTGAATGTTGCTGCAATGCCTGGAAAAGGCACAGAAAACTGCAATGATACTTTCCCCTAAAACAGCTATATTGCCAATATGTGCATTAACCCAATCAGATTGAATGTGAAATCAATCTGACTTTGAAATGTATTTCCTAGATCGGAAGCCCCCCTCAGCTTTATAGCAAGATTTAGCTCATTGTTTTGCTCTCCAGCCTGACATTTTACTGTTTTGATTCACTGTCACCACTCGGTGTAGTTTTTAACTGCTGTAGAAAGCTGTTGTTACATGTACATTACATGTTCATCACCAAACAGACAACGTTAGCGACTAGCTGGTAAATATTTGTCGGTTAAAGGTTTCCCTCAAGAGTTGATAGAGATTGAATATGAAGCTAAACTGGATAAGTGAGCATCACTTGTTTACATAAATGTCAACATACTTACTCTTTAAGCATTACATTACATGTCACTTGTTAGACGCTTTTATCCAAAGCGACTTACACACATTCAGTACTGTGGACAATCCCCACAGGAGCAATTTGGGGTGAAGTGTCTTGCCCAGGGACACAACGACATGCTGACTGCAGTGTGACTCGTACTTGCTATCCCCTGATTCGAAGTGCAGCACACTATCCACTGAGCCACAGCCGCTCTCGCATTAACTATTATATAATTGATGGTATAATCTAAGTTCACCTGCTGATGTTTAACCTGCAATAGCAGTCATGCTATCCACCTAGCTATTCCAATTCAAGATGCATGAAATGGTATACGCCTGATATTGCAAAACTGAAATGTAGTTGGAGAAGCAGTTATCTTGTCCTGTGTGTGTTGTGAATACAAAGAGCTGTAGAGGCGGTTCTGTCCACCTTTAATAACTCTTTCCTACTCATCTCGTGACCTCAGGTCCACCAAGCCTCCTGTAATAAAACCCCAAAGTTCTGTTTCATAAGAATACAGCGGGAGATATTGCTCTGAATAAAACAAAAGGATTAGATAAGAAATTCCTTTCTTATTTTGAAATTGTAATCTCTTTCTTTTCCTCCATTCTCTTCATTGTTTTCATTTTCCATGCTCTCTTCTCAACGCTCTCCAATGACTGAAATGGTTCTTATTCCCCTCTCTTCATTGCATACTTCTCCTTTCCCCTCTCAACTCACTCTGTCCCCACTTGACCTCTATGCTCTCACTGTCCTTCTGGATGTATCTGATATTCAAAGCAATGAGCATTCTGACAGCTGAAAAGTGCATTTCTTGCAGTGGCACCAGTGAAGAACACTGGGCCAGAGGCACACTCTTAAATAATCCACACATCCAGATTGTTTCCACACTCTCGTGAGCTTTGCATCATGTCAGTCTGACCTAAGATGGATAAACAGAAAGACCATCTTAGTCGGCTATGGGGACTTAAATAAAAAGCTCACACACCAGTACATTCACTCCCACGCTGAAGGACCATGTGACCAGACGAGATAGTCAGTGGAACATCAAGCATCATCAGTTCCCAGCTGACAGGTCCGTCACTGCCGCTCTAAAAAATTGCCTGTCTGTCACGCCAAAATAGGTAATGAATTGGGGACATTTGAAGAGCTTTCTCCTCAGACAAAACTGTTGGGACGCAACGCAAAAGATGGTAAATGTTTTAAAGCCATAGTCCTAAAGAGAGTAAATATAGCTTCCTATCAGTTGACTGTATATATATATATATACTACATAAACTACATGGTCTATTTTTCGAAATACAAAAGCATTACTTTTTTTGTTATTGTTGAACTTCTTATATGCTGTAATAGCAGTGTCCTGGTAAGGCCTTCCGCATTAATCTGGCTGCAGGAATGTGTTCCTGTCTAGGCACACATGACTGATGTTGGGAACTGAGGTTGAGTGATAAGGCCTGGCTCGTAGTCTGTGTTCATGTTCATTTCAAAGGTGTTGGATAGGGTTGAGGTCAGGACTGAGGTGTAGAATACTATTCCCTATATAGTATTAATATTTCCCTCAGTTGGATCTTAGGGGCATAACCATGAGAAACAGCCACAGACCAACACTATACAGACAGGGGTGGAAGGTTGTGGTTGAATGTTGAATGT